TATAACTATAATCGATATATATCGTTAGTGATATAAATCGATATATAGCTAATAATCGATATATATCATATAAAAAAATCAATAACCAACGACCCTGCTGGTAGCAATCGATGCAAATCTTCAAAAAAAATTTTCCGATATACATAAAACAAGTCCAAAGCGCTGAAGTTTACAGTGAAGCATTAAAAGAAGTTAATAATACACGACAGAAGTATGGTAGAGTGCAAGGTATTATAAGAAAAGCACTCGACATAGCGATTGCAACTAATTCATACAATAAATGGATCGGTATTTGTCATGAATTTATATTAGATAAAGAAAACAAAGGATTAGATATAATGACAGATGATATTGAATGCAATATTAAGAATCTTGTTATTAGCATATGAAAGGGATGACCACCTGGAAGGGCCAAAAGTATTGTTGAAGTACAAGATCAGCGCATTAAAAAAAGGCAGTATTTACAAAATTTGAAAATTACCGAATATGAAATCAAAGAAAAAGATAACAGAAAAACATGCCAAAATTGTGGAAATAAGGGACACAACAAGGCAACATGCAAAATTAATCAACGTTAAGAATTATGAAAGTAAGGAACACAATATGTAAGCAAAATTAATTAGGTTCTGTAGTATAGTTTTATTTAGCATTTTAGACATACGTATGTATTCTACAGTATATATTATTTGCATTATCAATTGTGAAAGAATATTTTCTTAATATGCTATGTTTCATCAACTTTGAATGATGTATGTACGTACATACAGTAACGTATGTACATATAGTAGCAAGTATGAATTTGATTAATTGTTTGCTTTTTGTAGTTAATTACCGGAACAATTCTGTAACTAGTTTAGTAAGTATAATCATTTTATATTCTTTAGTTAACGATATAAGTAGATCAATATCTGAATACAGGGTTTACTAATTGTTTTACCGTTACTGTTACTCAAATTAATACATATTAAAGCCACTGTAGATCAAAACTACTTATGTAATATTAGAATATGTGAAGTTTAGTATTAGTCAGTAATATGATCGTTAACAGAATTTCAGACTCACATTTTAAGACAAATTTCTTACAATTCAATTATGTTAGGGATAGCATTTAAATATAGCCAAAAGTTAACAAATTATGTAGCAAAATTATTTGGAAAACTCTTTTGTTAAAGCGAAATTCTATTTTAATCTGAGTCAAAATTTGGGACTAGCAATGCCAGTCTAAAAAATTTCGCACGTTATGTGATCTTATTTTAAACTATATAATAAAGTTTTGTGGTTAGGTTAGGAGTAGGGTCTTGCTGAAAAGTTAGGTTTAGAGGATTATAGCTATACCAAATTTTGCAAGGAAAACTTTTTGTTAGTGCGCAGAAGGCAGTTTCATAGACTAAATTTTGAGTTATGAGTGATTTTTGACAAAACGAACATTTGTTTTGAATTTTCCTGATCGTGCAGCAAAATTTTTTAGACTGGTATTTTAAATATAGTTGAGTCAAAATGACCCTGGCAGAATTTTAGGGTTAGTGTGAGCCGAAATTATATTGATGCTGACTGGGTTTTTTATATTAAAACCCGGCCAGCATCAACATAATTCCAGCTCATACTAACCCTAAAATTCTGCCAGGGTCATTTTGACTCAGGTTAAATAGTATATATTCTTCTTATTGTAAAAAGTCATATAATACTCAAGTAATAATATTATTGTTGTTGATTGTAAAATGTTGTATAACATCTGTATCATGTGATTGGATGGTAATTTCCCCCAGTTAAAATTAGAAATTCTCATATTTTAATATCTACATGTTTAATTATTAGCTAAAAGTAAATTAAAAGGTAGTTTTTCTGAAAATTGCCTCCGAATTTACCCTTATCCATTATACAACCAATCGTTCAATGACAAACCAATCCTTCACTACCTGAAAATACTCAAATGCTTCAAACAACTAGTGATAGTGTTTCCTTTATAGCTTGATGTAGCTGTTTTTTGAATATTTATTGTTTATTTAACTCATATAAAGGCCAAAAAACTATTTTATTTGAAGTTTTATTCATTATTCTTCATGTCACTTAATAGCAAAAGTTTGTGTAATGGTTTATCAAAAAAAGACTAATAAAAATTAAATCGGTGAATATGTAATATAGTACCAGCTTTATGAAAACTTAGTGACTCTTCTACAAAAATTAAAACATTTGATAATAAGAGTTAACAGATGATTGATTATACAATAAGCTCTGAACAGAGCTCAAGAGTAGTAGATAGGACTGTTAAAAAGCTTGTCAGACCTGGTTCTTGAGTCAACTTTACATAAACTTTTTAGAACTAACTCAAGCCTGTCTCTAGACAAAGTCTCATATGCATGTCTTTTGTTCTAAAAGAGTATATATGTGATTGACTAATTACATTTCCCAGAATTGGACATAGCTGCTACACCAATTTTGTCATAAATGATTCTTGATTTTGATTGGCTAATAGCTGTGATCTACAAAATTTTGGCCCGCATTACATAATTGTTTATATAATTTTTGGCCAGAATTAACTTTTTAACTTTTTTATTCTCAAAATAGAAATTTTTAGAGAAATAGGCCTACACAATAGTAAAATTAGCCTAGGAATATTTTTTACTTAATGTGCGGCTGTAGTTTCATTAGTAAAATTTTGAGTAACATTAGCCTAAATTATTGATTATCATTTTTAACCAATCAAAATCAAGAAATCGTTGCTTATAGCTAATCAAAATCAAGAATCATGCGTAACAAAATTGGTGCAGCAGCTAGGTTCAATTCTCCCAGACAAAGTCCCATATGCATGTCTTTTTGGGGTGTATTATATTGGTTAATTTACAAACATAGTACAGGTCACATAGTAAAAATCACTAATTGAGATTTTTTATAATAAAATTTTCAGATCTGCATTCTATATTAAACAATTATAAAAAAAAGACTTTACTCTACCTTTAATTCCTCTAATAATACTTGATATTTTTTAATTCTATAAAAGTAAAGCATTTAATAAAAGTTGTCTTTTCATAGTAATAATACTAGAATTTCAATTTTACTAATTAAAATAAGCTATTTTTTATGCTAAGTAGTTCTGGTTAAAAATCATGTGATAGATCTTTCATGTTGCATATAAAAGATAACAATCAAGAACTTTACTGATTGTGAATTTTACTTTCATGCTACTTTAAAAAAATGTTTTATAATAGAACAGAAATTAAATGATATGAATGCAGAAATAGGATAAAACTAAGATAAGTTATAATATATTAAATAGCTGTTTCAGAAGTTTAATCTCTAGACACAGCTATTTGATTTTTTTCAGATATCAGTTCATCATCGTCACTTGATAACTCAATTATTTCAGATGCTTCATCACTTGAAATTTCAATTGTTTTGGGTATCTGGTCTTCATGACTTAATATTTTAATTACTTCAGATACCTGGTCTCTTCTACTATTATTTTGAGACACCATCTCTCTATTTCCAAGAGGCTTGTTGGTTATATCTGTTGATTCTTTAATATGCTCAAAATTTAACTCTTCGTTTCCATAAAACTGGTATTGATTATTTACTGTAGTATTTACTTGCTTAGTGGCTATTCCTTTGTATTAAATATCATATACAAATTCAATTTTTTCTATTTTTGTATTCTTTAGAAAGCCAGAGACGGTTCCAAAAAATAATATAGTACTCACAGGCAGTGACGTGGTTTGGATAGAAAACCATGTGGTCTCTTCAAATATTCTAGCAACATAAATATGCATAGCGTCAAAGTATATTTTATGTTCTTTAGTTTCACGATATGAAAGCAAACAATTGAATGAAATTTTGTTTAATCCTTTATCACGATTTAAAATACTATATAAGGAGCATATTTTATTTTCAGTTTCATTGATGTTATAAGTTGGATTGAAAACACCTTTGACTCTGGTTAAATACTATTTAACATATTTATCTTGGTATCTTTTGTTTATAGTACTTTGGAGAGGTGTTAGTTTTATGAAGGTCAAAAATCCCATACCATTTTCATCAACTTTTACTGAAAATGAAGTGCAAATTTTATCACTAAAAAGAGTATCTGTGGTAGGTAATTTTTTGTTTTTCGAGTAGTGAGAATTGGATGTCTTTAAACGAGGTTTTGGTATACGAGTGTGTCTAGGTGATATATTGGTATTAAAAAAAAATGAAGATACATTACCTTCAAGAAAAATAGGTGCTGTTATATAGAAATTCTGATATTAATAATAAAATAAAATTTGTATTGTCGATTCATAATGCAAATTTATTTTATTGTTAATCCACGATTTGCCAATACGATATGTCTTTAAAAGCTTCTTAATTATTGAAGAATGCTTGATGGGATCTTATTACTCTAATTTAGAAACTCGTTATTGTGCTAATTATGCCAATTTAGTTACTTTTGGAGTTAGTGTCTAAAAATCTATAGTTCTTATAAATGTGCGAACATGGTCAATTCTTAATTCTCTGGATCATTACTTAATTGAACTAGCACTGGGTTATTAGAGAAGGGTGCGAAGATATCTAAAATTAGTTGAGTGTGCTAAATAATAAAGCTTTTATTACTCTAATTTAGAAATGTATTACTGTATTATTGCTATTTTAGTTATCTTTTCTAAATTAGTATTTAGAAGTTTACACCTATTGAATATAACAAGTACATCATTTCAATGGTTTTTGTTAAGTTTCAATATAAAAATACAGTATAATCGTTCATCGTTATATTTGTATTTGATATGCCCAAAGCTGGCTAAGTTTACAAGCAAGAATTGTATTTATTCATCAGTTCTTATAATTCTAATTTAGAAGCATATCACTTTAATGAATTAGTTTTTAGAGGTCTACACTTTTGTATATAGCAAGCTATTTTTTAAAGCTTGTTTATATATATATAGAAATATGCATATATTCTAATAATATCAGAAGTTTATTTATAAAAAAACAATTAATGATTTATTGAATTAGAACATATTTTTTAATTTATTTTTATCTTAAATTAGAGATTCATTAATGTATATCGATGTGTTGAAAATTTTTTATTCTTTTTTTTAGAAATTATTTCCTAAATTTATATCTACAATCAGTTTTTAACGGTCGCTATTAAGATATAATTCCACGTATACTTTAATAACTTCTAATATAAATCATAAAAAAGAGGCTTTTCTCATTATTATTTTGAATATTAATGGTGAGACCATGTCTCTGTCTTTATTGAAATTTAATTAAAATCTTTTATACAGAAAAGAATTGCATCTTAAACTTCATATCATATGATAGCAAGAAAAGAGACTCAGACTAGTTTATCTGCGGCCTAAACCAACTTTTCTCATTATTATTGATACTTATAATTATGATAATTAAAGAGTGGTAT